CCTTGCATCGCGGCCGGGCTCTGCAGGGAGAATGCATCTAAAAATGCTAAAAAAAAAGAGCTGATTAATGAGATTAGCAGTAGTGTTTTAGGGAAGCTGGATTTGAAGCAGCTTGATTTTCAGAGGCCAGGTGCTTGCGGTGAAGACCCAAACCTGAGCCGCCAGAAAAGCCCGGTCGGTGTTGGAAAGCCGTGGCCCATGCTGATCCAGCTGCAGGAAAGCACTTCCCTGGTGGTGTTTAAGACCCAGCTTGACAAAGCCTTGGCTGGGACGATGTAGTTGGGGCTGGTCCTCCACAGTAAGGGCATCCCTGCGTTATCCTGCAGCTCGGCGAGGTGGAGAGCGCCTATGAAGGGGCCAAGAAGGTGGCGCAGCAGATGAGGAGGAAATGCAAGCGGCTGACCTGCGACCTGGAGGACACGCGGGTGCTGATGGAGAGCCAGCAGAGCCGCAGCCACGAGCTGGAGAAGAAGCAGAAAAAGTAAAAACCTAAGCCCTTCACCCTTTTTGCACCGAGACCCCATTTCTACCCGCAGAGGCCTGGGGTCATATGAAATCATGAATCTCTTCTTCAAGGACCTGCCCGGGGCTGCCAGCCCTCCGGTGCGCAGAGTTGAAACGCAATCCCCGTTCAGGGCATCTCGGCGGCTCCGGGAGGCCTCAAGCTTTGGCTGATGAGGCGGTTATTTTTACCTGCGTAGAGCATGGGCAGTGGTGCCAGGCAGGGAGGTTATTTTTACCTCCTGTTGCCGTGTAACTGCAACACATTTCCATAACGCGAATCGTTCTGTAACGAGCAAGGCGGTGGCTGGGGGGTCCCTGCCTTCTCGCGCCGGGAGAAGGGGACGGCGCAGGTGGGGCGAGTTCGGCCGCCGCGTCCCGAGATGCTGCGGGTAGAAATGGGATCTCGGTGGCGGGGAGCTAGGATGAGAGTCTTGGGGATCAACCCCGTGCCATAGCCAGCGAGAGGGTGCAGAGCTCGACTCACCCCCTCGTCGTGCTGAAATCGCAAGGTTTGGTGCAGCCGATGGAAACCGGCCTGGAGAAGTGCAGTGCAGGGTCCCCGTCACCGCCGGGTGACGGCTTCACTCGATTCCAGCTCTGCCTAACGTTGCGCTCTTGGCTGGACGCGTGCACGGGGCCGCGGGCACTTAAATGCAGTAAAGAATGATCCACCTGCTGATTGCCGTGCATTGCAGGCGCTCGCTATCCTATGTGGCCCCCTGACAAGAGGAGCCATGAAACGTCCCCTCAAAAGCACTAGCTGAGTCAAGCACGAATGAGTGCTAACGGCCTGGGTCTTCCTCGCTGTCCCGCCTGGGAGCCGCTGCATGCAGCGACATCCACGTGTCCCCGCTCCGGGAGGTTGTCCCCAATAACGCGCGTGTTTCCCACGTGGCAGGTTTGACATGCAGTTAGCCCAAGCCCTGGGAGAGTCGGCCTTTGAGAAGAGCCTTCGGGAAAAAACAACCCAGGAAAACACTGCCGTCAGATGGGAGATGGGGAAACTTCAGCAGAGGTTAGAGGTAAGGGGAAAACAGCCCTTTCCGCGGTATATTGCCAGGTCTCCAGAGCAGCTGTAGCAGCAGGAGCGAAGCTGTAATCATTGTAATTACCATAATGATAATCAGAGACAAATCAGGCTGCTAGAGACAACTTTATCCTGGTTTCTTTTAGCGTGTCGCAGGATGCGCAGTGCTGGTACGTAGCAGGGGACAGACCGCTGGTTTTCTGTGCAGAAAGACAGGCCCAAGCCAAGTGCAAGCAACTTTGCCAACTTCGGTAGCGAGGGTGCAGCACAAACGGTGTCGGCACCACGTCAAGCCGGCTTCATGCTGGTGTCAGGCCAGATTTTCCTGATTGCGATGAGCGCTGCTCTTCTCCCATTTCCACTGAAGTCCTGATCCCACTGGGTTTCCAAGTGGAGCCGTGGGAGGAGGTGGTCTCGGGGAGCGCTAACCGGAGGCTGGCTGAGCGCATGGGCTCTTTTCTCCCGCGCAGCAAAAGGAGCTGGAAACCTCCGGCCTGAGCCAGCGGGTCTCCGTGCTGTCCTCGCGCGTGCAGGAGCTCACCTCCGCCGAGGTCCTGGATGGGAACGCGGTGCCTGCCCTGAAGAAGAGGCTCTGGGACCTGGAGGCCAGCGCTGCCGAGCAGCAGAAAGAGCTGAAGCACCAAGCAACCACGATCGAGCAGCTGGAGCAGGTAACCCCCTCCCCTGTGCCCGGGAGCGGTCAGCCCAGCCCGGCCGCCCGTGGGGGTCTGCAGACGTCGTCTTCTGCCTCTCGCCTTGTGGGAGCACCCCCGCATGGCTGATAGACCCCAACCCATCCCCAAGCTCAGCAGGAAGGAGGAAGGGTTTTAATGAGCTGTGCAAAGTGCGGCAGCTTCAGCGGGAGCCGCTAAGAGAGAAGTTGTCCCAGGATAGCCTCTAAGGTTGGAGCGAGGCCTGGGTTCAAGTCCCTCCTCCAGAGCTGGATCTCTCCGGTCTCAGCTGGAGGATCCAACCCCACGGCCCTTGCATCTTGGCTGCGTTTGGATTGGGATGGGCTTGCGGTTGCAACTCCCGGGGAGGAGGAGGTGGCAGTGCTGAAGTCCCCGCTGCGCCTCTAGCTCTCAGTGCCTTGCCCACAGTTACGTGAGATGTGAGGAGCAGCAGGATTGAACCTGAAGTCCCAGGTGAACATGTGAGCCAGCCTCTTCCTCTGGGTTTCTGAAAATACAGTCCCTGCCTATGCTTCTTGCGAATGCCCGTGGCCACCCCAGTGTTCAAACCGGCAGGAAAAGGTGTTTTAGCAGCACCGCGTTCATGTGATCCCGGGTGCAGAAACCCTCCTGGCTTTGGGCATGGGTGACAGGTGTGTCGCGTTAGGGTGGCCACAGGCCGTAGCAGGTGCCCACTTTGTCAGCTTTCTGCTAGGAAATATTTAGCGTCCGTCATGGCCGAGCCGCCTGCCAGTGGGACGCTCTTCCACCGTGCACGGGCAGCTGTGCCCTGCAGCTCTGCCTGGAAGAGCCCGGGCGTTGGAAAGTGCACGGGTCGATCCAGCGCTTTGTCTCTGGTCTCCTCAGCTCCACCTCCGGCTTGAGATGGAGATCGAGCGAATGAAGCAGATGCAGCAGAAGGAGCTGGAAGACAAGGACGAGGAGCTGGAGGATGTTCGCCAGTCCTGCCAGAGGAGGGTACGTGGCTGTGGGATGCCTTATTAACCACGCCGCTGAGCTGTCCGGGGGGAGAGGGGGCGCGGGGCTCTCTCCTGCACGTGCTTTTGGCTGCCTGGGGAGCAATTATGGAATTAATTCACTGTATGACTCCGCGCCAACTGCAACTGGAAGTTGTTCTTGGCAAGGGCTTGCACCGGGGGGCTTTAATGGAGCCTGGGCCCACCGGGCATTGGCTCGTTTACCCCCTCCGGGTCCTTGGACACCTCTGCCTCCAGCCCCCTCATTCAGCATCCCCATGAAGACTGCCTGGGGGAGCCCAGAGGAGCAATGTGAGGCTCTGCCGGGCCATTCAGCAGCTGGCGATAAGCTGGGGGTCAGCCGTCCTCCTTGCAAGCACGCCCCACAGGTCGATGAGAGTAGCTTTCTTCTGAGAGGTTTTTCAGGGGTTTGCTTTCCCATCAAGCTGTGCTGTGCAAGCCCGCCCTGGACAGCCAGGGCTGGTAGCAGCCCTCTCTCCCAAATACATGCATGTGTGTGTATATATATATTTTTTCCAAATAAGTAAATGCCAGAGGTTATCTTAGAGGGGAATTGCATTACCATCTTGCTGGCTTTCCCCTTGTGAACCTGCCTTGCAAGCAGCTTCCTAGGCATGTCACGAGCGGGTGGGGAGCAGACAGAGCTCGGAGGTGCCGTGCCGGCGGCTTGGCGGGCTGGAGCCGTCCCGAGGCAAGGACCTTCCAGCGGCTCGGAGCAGTGAGGCTGAGTTGGGAAACAAACCGCCTCCTACCCCTGCTGAGCATGGGTCTAGCTGCACCTCCATCCTCCACCTCCGTCCGCGGCAAAGCTCCTTTGGCCAATCAGCAGCTCAGTCCTCCCTCTGCCATGGCTGCCTCGTTATCTCCGCATGCGGCAGTACATGGTGCTGGACCAGAGGCCAAATGAATTCGGTTTGTTCGGTCCCCTGTGTGTGGGGAGCTGTACAGACATGTGCGGCTGCATCCTTGCCTCTCCTGTGTGAGGTCCCCGCTATTCCCACTCCTCTGGGGAGGAATTGCAGAGGTCCCTTAATGGGCCCAGGGTGGCCAGGCTTGTTTCCAGGCTCTTGAGCGGTCCCGAGGAGCTGTAGGGCCTGACTTTTCCTTGGACTAGATATTATTGGCTCTATCTAGGCATGAGCCAGTGATTACTATGGATGTGGCCGGTTTTCACTGCCTGCCCATGGGCCCTGGCTCACCCATGCGTGCATGCCTCCCCCTGGGCTCACGCGGGTCTTTGCTGCTCGGGTAACGAAGAGAGCGCACAACTTGCGAGCAGCCCTGTTTTTCTGCAAACCGCGCTTCGGCAGGAGTTGCTAATTTCCTGCCAGCCGTGCCCGGGGAAGGGGTCACCTGCTCAGCGGTGTCTGTGTGCGCCTCTTGCCTCTGCGCAGCTCCGGCAGCTGGAGATGCAGCTGGAGCAGGAGTTCGAGGAGAAGCAGATGGTCCTCCACGAGAAGCAGGATCTGGAAGGGCTTGTCGGCACCCTCTGCGAGCAGGTAGGAGATGGGAATGCATCCGGCCTTGTTTTCCCAGACCCGGGGATGCGGCAGATGTGCGCGTCTCTAATCCTTGACGGTAGCACGGAGCCATCGCGTTGTCCCTTGGGATGCCCCCACTGCAAACACAGCTGCCCTTTCAGCAGTTACCCTGGGCCAAAGGGTTTGGTTGGAAGACAAAGGCAGACAGAACGGGGCAACATCATCCCCCTTCTAGCAAAACTGCTTTGCAGCTTGTCCTCTTCCCACTTCTGCCTGGTAGGCACAGTCCTACCTACCAGATCTTATGCCCACTGTCTTGTGTGCATCTGGTAGCAATGGGTAGCGTTTAACATGGCCAGCTTCACTGAGTTTGGGAACCGTGTCAGGCACCATCTGCAGTGGGGGGGTTTCTGTGGAGAGGCCTGGTCCTCACCTGCATACCCAGTCTACAGGCTGGACAGCTGAGCAGCCCCGCTGGGTGATCGCTGGTCCCTTCTGTCTGCACCGGCTGCAGGGCTCTTGGTCCTTATGTTAATGTTTCCAAAGTGCCTTTGCACAATTCAGCATTATGATGCAATTAAAATGGCTTTACAGCAAGGCTGTGCACAGGAGAGTAGGAGCTAATTATCTGGAGTTATGGCATGAGCGAGTGTAACGCTGGGTCACTGGCACAAGCTGGCGGGGATTCATTAGGTCTGGCAGTTGTGTGCGTTCATTAAATTCAATGAGTTTTGGAGCCTGGCAATGCTGTGCAATGGTGGATGTGTTTCAGGGTAGATGCAGAATGGTCTAATGAGGCCTATCCATAACTTCCTGTAGGCTTTGAGCTTGTAAAATGCTTTGGGAACTGTCAGAATAAATCCTGCTTTATAAATGCCGGGCATTACTACCTAACAGCCCGGCATGTTTCTCCTGTTTGGTAGAGTACATAAATTAAGATGGATGAGTTTGGTATGTGAGCTGCAGAGCGGCCTAGTCACCGGCAGTGTTATAGGGTCCTTTCCAAAGGAGGTAGTGGTAGCTACATGGTCCATCGTGTCACCTCGGCCTCCGAGCTCTGCGCAGACCGGCCATGCCGCCCATGCGCAGATGCAGGACAGGAGATGGTCTCTGCCCCGAGGCAGGGCTGGGACGAAAGCAAATCTGCTATGCTTGCAGGGCCATTAGAAACTTGGTTCAGCTTGCAGAGGGGCTTAGTCTTTATTTGTGTAACAATCAATTAAAGCAGCAGAGAAGCCATCCCTTTCTTCAGGTTTCTGAAAAGTGCTGCCCAGCTTCAAGGCAGGTTACCAGATGAAACCCACATAATTAATTTTTACCAGTGAACAGACAATAACGAACATATCTGAAGGCGCAGAAGAGAGATAAATGAAGCACAAATTGCAAAGCCTGCCACTTTCCAATTAGCCGAAAAAGCAGGCACTGAAACCCCGTCCTTGTTTGTTGGGGTTTCTCTAATTCTCTTATCCTTGTATCCATGGTTACTCCCAAATTCTTTCAGAGGGGAGAATGTTTTAAATTCCCTTCCATTCCCTTTTCTTGAAAGGGCTTCAAAGTAATATCGTGGCAGAAAATTGTCAGGTGAAGATGCTCCAGACCGGCATTATAGCTCACCAAATCTCCCAACAGACAGACCTCTGCCCGCAGACACGGGATGCACGATGCAACCGCAGAGCAGTCATTTTCCAAGAGTCCTTTCATGACAAGCAATGGGCGCTTTGCCTAATTCATAAGGAAACCTTTATTAGCCGTGGGTTTGGTTTTCTCTTCCCCACCCCAAATAAATTGCAGGGTTGTGAGCCCACCCAGACATGCTGCCACCTCCTTGCCTTGTTCTTCCATGCGAGCGGCCTTGGCAGCCGTGAGCCCAGCAGCAAGGAGAGGATCGCATCGGTCCTGCTGCGTTGGGGCTGTGTGTAAGGGTGGCTGCAGTGCTTCTTCAAGGGCTCAGATGAGGATGAGCCCCACGTCTCATCCAGATGAGCAGAGATGTCTGTTGGCATCTGCTCGCTGCTGGGTGGGGGTGACCGTGTAGATGAAATCTCTTAGTGATGCTGTGGAGCGGGGTCGATCCTGGATTAGCCGTGCCCATGCATTGCCTATAACGCGTGTCACGCACCGAAGAACATTTAATGTGTTAGGGACCTCCCAAATCGCCCCAAATGATTTCTTTGCTGCTCCTTTGAAATCTACTGCTTCAGACAGACCAAGCCCGCCTGCATCTTTGCATGCACACGAGGCTAACAAAGACCTTTCTGTCCCCTTCCCTCCCCCAAGATTGGGCACCGGGACTTCGATGTAGAGAAGCGGCTCCGGCGGGACCTCAAGAGGACGCATGCTTTGCTTGCAGACGTGCAGCTTCTGCTGGCGACCGCGGGAGATCCCAGTCCGTCCATCAGCAAAGAGGAAGCGGAGAAACTTCGCAGTCAGGTGAGAGGCCGATATACCTGCGTGGCGTCTTTCCATTCGGCGCTTCTGTTTCCGTGCGCAAAGGTGCTAGCGCAGCTCCAGTGTCCCAGCATCAGCCCTCTCCAACGAGCCTTTGCTAGCATGCAAACCTTTGCTGGTTTAGGGCTGCACAGTCAGGAAATCTCTGTGCGTGGGCTCACATACTCACTGGCGAGGCCCCTGCCTTAATAACTTGGATTTGCACGTCAGGGTTAGGAACAAACATGCCTCGGCTCCGGTAGGACCAGATTCTTGTAGCTTCGTTAACGTATTCACATCTCAGCCTTTTTCCCATAGAGATGCAGCCTAATGAACCTATTGATTCGGATACTTCACAGCTCCCCTCAGTATCCCACATCTCCTGGCTTGCTTATTTTTGGCCTCTGCCTTCAGAGGAAGCTAGACCCTGGGTTGGAAATGGTGTGTTTGAGGGCATCGCTGCCTGGCATGGCAAGTTGGTGGTGGAGACTCGGGCTGCTGAAGTCAATGGGATGCTGCCGGAGGGCTGCGTACGGAGATTTGCCTCTACGGCACTGGCAAGGTGAACCAAGCACGTAGGGGCCGACGCGAGGCTGCCTGGCAGCGATTAGTCACATCTCCAGCGCGGGGGGAAACACAAAGAAAACGCTGAACTCGGCCCTAAAGCGTCTTGGAGTGAACTTCATTTACTATGCATGAGATGAAGGCTAATGGCTGTTTTGTGCTGTCCGTCACCCACCTCATGAATAGTGCTAAACACATCTAGCAAAGCAAGGCTGGCATTTCCCACAGGCATGATTCATTTAGCTGAACCAAGGTGGAGATGTGAGATTGTATGGGGCAAGGCATATTTACAGCATTTACCTTGTTAATTGTGCAGCCCGATAGCGGCAGCTTCCAGGCACACGCCTGAGCACGAAGCTAATGCATCTCACACCTCTTCGCAAAGCATTTCCTCCCCTCTCGAGTGAATTGTGTTGGGCACTATTTATATAGCCAAGGTGACTACGGTTGCATATGGTTTTTCAGTCTTTCCTTTTACAGCCCAAGTTACTGGTCTTCTCAGCCAGTTTTCTGTCCTTTCAGTAAATGAAATCCCAAGGCCCATCTTTTAGTATCTGTTGTCATGGAAATTGTTATAGGCATTGTGTATTATGTTCCAACCTGGGCAGGGAGCAGAGTTTAATTTGCTCTATGCACCACCGTCCTGCGCGCCGTAACTAGCACGGCACAGAAGTGAGGGAGGTCTGTCCTGAGACATTTCCTTATTCATTTTTGATGGAGAGGAAGGCTCATGGAGGCTTCAAGCCATATAGGAAAAACCCCAACAAAAGCCCTGCCAAGCAGGGTTTGAAATCCCAGCCCTTAGCTGCAAAATTGGGCATACTAGCTGCCTTCGGTTTTCTGAGAGTCCCCTAGTCCTTGGAGTGTGTGGCTAAGAGTGGGTCTGGGGGGGCCTTGCACTGCACGAAGCATGAATCCCCAGCTTGCTCAGAGCGGCTTCTGGCCTTGGAAGCTCTGGGCGTGCCTACATGTGCACTTGAATGCTCATTAGCCTATTTTAATGCACATTAAAGCGCCACTCAACACGCATGCTTTTTAGTTAATGCACATTAAATAAGCTAATACACGTTAAGCATCACTAAAAACCCATGCTCTTTAGTTAATGCACATTAAGACAGACTAATGTGCATTTTCCTAGTACCTCACAATGGAGGTACTAGATTTAATGTGCGTTACCTAACGTAGACACGCCCAGAGGTACTAAATTTAATGCACATTAACTAAAGCACATTAATGCAGGTGTAGATGTGTACCCTCTCTGCTCACATGGGCATGGCCTGGGGGTTTCTGTGTCTTTGAGCTTCAGAGGATACCGGCCTCCAAGGTGCCAGCAGGAGCCAAGGACGGGATGGTTTGCTGTTTCTCGGGAACAGCCAGCGGTCCAATCTTGCCCTTCGGTGAGCTGTGCCCCCAGCCTGCCAGGGCTGTTGGACTTTGACAGTGGAAGCTAGAGCGTTTTGCCATTTGTTCTCATTAGCAACCATGGCACAGACGTCCAAAACACCTTAGCTTGTGCTTCCCGGCGCGCCGGGTGCGGGACGTGGGGGCCGTTTGGGAGCCAGAGCCTTGCACTGAGCTCCTGCTCCGTGACTGATAGCGGCAACCCTTGCACCCGCTCAAGAATGCAGCGCGTCAAGGAGAAGCGAGCGAGCAATGTTGCTTTAATGACACCAGTCTTCAGGAACCATTTAGTAATTAATCCGCGTTGTACGTTTCCACTGGAAACAAACTAATCTGGAGGCATAAGCACTTCCAGTAACAGACATCTATAATTGAGATAATGGCTCTGCATAAATAACATCTGCGAGCAGCAGCTGGTGGCACCGGGCACGGAGGGAAACGGGGAAGGTGAGCTCAGTTGCGAGCCCGTCTCTGTTTGCCCTGTGCCGCCAACCGGAAGGAGCGTGCATGTTGCTCCCCTTAGCTGGTGTTTGCTCTGCCGCCGTGAAGCTGCCTTTGCGTCTGACGGGGCTTGCTCAGCGCCGGGGGCAGAGGAGGCTGCCTGCCATCCAGGCGCACTAGGTTTTGGGGAAGGCACCCCGGATTTACAAAGGGGCAGCAAATGGCAGCCCCCAGGCGGTGCTGGGTCAGAAAGGGGGGAGCGGGAAGCTTAGCTTTGGCGCATCAGAAAAGCCCGCAGTTTTGGGCCCTCTCAGAGGCAGGAAATCACCCTGCTCGCTTTGGGTTTAGGGTGTCCAGGCAAAGCGTATTTAATAGCCTGTGGTCCCCAGGAGGCCTGATTAGCTGGCGTAGTGCTGGCCTTAGGATTTTTTGGGTTAAAACCTTATGTGCTGCTCCACTTGCCCGCCCCATCCCACAAGGCTGTAGTGCTATGGATGCCAATTAGTGGCCATGCTGAGCTGCAGCTAATAATCCTCTCACCAGCTGTGCTGTCTGCTCTTCATGCACGTGTGCTCCCTGCTCTCGCTCATCTACCATCGTTCATTTAGGGATCCCGCGATGAGCCAGTGCATCTTCTGTGTATTTAGGGCAGTGATTCTCGACCAAGGTGCCTTGAGATCCTTAGTCACAGAATCGGAGACGACGAGGGAGGAAGCGACCTCGGGAGGTCACATGCAGCCCAGCCCCCTGCTCCAAGCAGGACCAGCCCCGACTACATCATCCCAGCCAAGGCTTTGTCTACCTGGGGCTTAAACACCAACAAGGGTGGAGACCCCACCACCTCTCTGGGTGACCTGTCCCAGTGCTTCACCACCCTCCTAGTGGGAGAGTTTTTCCTACTATCCAGCCTCAACTTCCCTTGAGCCCATTGCTCCTTGTCCTGTCATCTGCCCCCACTGAGACCAGCCCAGCTCCATCCTCTTTGCAGCCCTCTGGCAGGGAGGTGAAGGCTGCTATTCAATCCCCCTCGGTCTTCTCTTCTGCAGACTCAATCAGCCCATTTCCCTCAGCCTCTCCTCCCCAGTCCTGTCCCCCAGCCCCCAGCCATTTTCATTGCCCTCCACTGGACTCTCTCCAACGTGTCCACATCCTTTCTGCAGCGGGGACCACAGCTGGACACAGGACTCCAGATGTGGCCTCCCCAGTGCTGAAAAGAGGGAAGAATCATGTTCCTCGATCTGCCGGCAACGCTCCTGCCGATGCAGCCCAGGACGCCGGTTGCCTTCTTGGCACCAAGGGCACACTGCTGGCTCCTGTCCAGCTTCTTGTCCCCTGTCCCCCCAGGTCCTTTTCTTTCAAGAGTGCCATAGGATGACATGCTGTTAGTACTGCTGGGTGGGTAAACACGATTGACAAGAGCAACCCAAAGGTTTCCAACAGGAATCCAGAGCATTAAACCAATTCTGATCTGGTTGAGGCCTTGGCAACAGAGGAATTGCTTTTGTGATTTTTCTGTAGTCAAAAACCAATTGAAAACCAAGAGCCGGCCCTTTTGGAGGGGTGCGTTATGTCTGCAGAGGGGTGCCTTTAGTTGTGAACTCCTGATTTAGCTTGTCTGTGGGGCAGGGACGGGCTGGTAGCTTCAGGAACATCTCATCTTTTATGCTCTTTGCTGTGGAGATGAGCTGCTGGTTAAAAACGAAGTAGATGCAGAGTTGTGCTGAGGCCTGGGTGAAGAGACCCTGCAGTTCTGGCTATCCGTGGGCTTGCACGGTCGCGGTCTTACCATTTCTTAAATATTTGCCATAGGCTTCTTGGAAAAGGTAGACCTTTGTTGCAGAGACCAGCGGTTTCAGATATAGCTTGTGTAGCAGGCAGACCCGGCGGCGCTGGAAATGCGGGCACAGTCCTCAGTGAAAGACTGTACTTGCATTTGGTACAGAGCAATCAGTTCACAATAAAGCATTTCTCACAGGAAATTGGCTGCCCCCCCCCACTGCCCAGAGTGTTAACCAAGCCAAGCTCCTGGGTCTGGAAATGAATCCTGCCTCTGTCTGGACACGCTGCTCAGGATGGTGCCGGCGTTCAGTCATTAGGAGCTCGTTTGCATGGAGGGAAGGAGCTCTGAGTAGCAGCCACGATGCAGCGACGGCAGAGGGTGCCCCCGGGGCCAGGCCTGGTGGCAGGGGGGACCGTGGCTGCAGCTCGGACGCGGCCGGTCTGGACCCCCGAGCACCCTTCTCCGCGGAGCGCCTGCTTTCCAACTAATGAGCTCCCTTCCCTGTCTGCTCCTGAGCCTGTTCCTGACCCATTTCCCCCAGTTATAACACCGCAGTTAAAAAATTAATCCCTGATCGTCCCTTACAGTGCACTTTGGCACAGAAGACGGATGTCGCGTGTTCATTTTCTCTCCCCATCTCCGTCTCCAGGGTTGTTAATTGGGCAGTTCGTCACTGCTCGACAAGCCTGTCTATATAGCCATTATTTTTTTTTTTTCAAACAAAGAAGAGTTGCAGTGACTGACCCTTATGGCACGCTTTCCTAAGGGATAAACCACCGGGCACAAAAGGGCGTGCTGCTGACTGCTACTCAGGCTT